AAGGTTTGCGTGAACTGTGCCCAACTTCTTATCAATCTGGGTGCAAGGTTTCGATACCATGTGCGGGTCACTCCTCTGAAAGTGGTGGATAAAGCTTACCTCCTCCCTGCCTCTGAGTTCGAGCAAATTGTGAGTAGTAGTTCGGCGAGCTCGGTGGCGGCATCTTTGCTTCTTGGCAGGCTCCACGTTGGTGTTGCTCACCTCCGTACTGTCAGGAATAGTATGCGCAGGAAACAACTCGGGCTGCTAGTGATGGCTCCGGACAGAGGGGTTCTGCTTAGAGTCTGCAGCTAGGATCTCGAACTAGTTCTCTAGAAGTGGGGCTTCAAACTTTGATTGCTGGGGTGACGTAGACCTTGCGAGCTGGGGTCCTCCCGACCTGACTGCCCATGGTGAGACCGGAGTGGCTGGTCTTTTCTTTCATCCTAGCAGTGAGACCTAGCTTGTCGTGAGGCTGGGTGCTGAGGAGGGAGCTAGGGCTAAGGCTGAGGCAGTTGAGGGAACTACTGCTAATAGTGATACTGAGAGACGTGATGCAGCATATGCTGCTAGTAGAGTTGGTGTTGCTGAAGTTGCTGCACTTGGGCTTGCATTGCCCACGTGCACTACATCAAATCATCGAGTTGGTTCTGGCTGGTCGCCAGAGGGACAACAGTTGGTTCAGCGAAGGTTGTCTCAATAGAGGGGGGAAGGGGAACACTCACAGGCGCTACTACTCGTGGCACATTCAGGCTAGGGACTCCATCCACCGAGAGGGGAATGGTGAACTGCCCAATGCAGACCACGGGGACCTGGGGTTGTTCCCTGGCGATGTCCATCTCCACGCTGCGTCCGGCATTGCTTGAAGAAGCCACGGGTGCTGTCTTAGAAAGTAGTTGCAAAAACTAAGGGGAGGCTTTTTGAAGTCGTTTCCACAGACGGCGCCAAATGATGGTGCGCGATCCGGTCACACCTAACTGGCAGCTACGTGGCTCCTGGATGGTACCTAAGATGGAGAAGATGAGGAATCCCCGGGGGGCTTGCCTGGCGGGAACACTCYGACGCTTAAGTTAGAGCTCTGTGAAAGATGCAAAGAGTGTGGAAGGGGCTAAGAGTGCAGATAGCGTGAGTATCCGAAGATTACCTTTGTCCTTTGAGATTGGGCTACTTATAACAGAACTCTGTCGAATTAGGCCCACCTGCCTCTGACAGGGCAAGTATAACCGCCACTGTCGTCCTGCTGCAGCCGTTACAACCAGGGCTGACGTGGCACACGCACGGCCGTCGTTGCAGGGTACATACCTGTCAGATGTAAGACACCTTCCAAAGGTGGCGAGCACAACATTGTCTGACGAGAGACGTGGCAGCAGTCTCCAGGTTTGTCAGGTACGGTGGTCGGGCAAGAGACCTTCCTGTGATATGCTGAATTGCTCTTCCGTGAGCTACCCTGTACCGAGCTACCCTACAAGTGGCGAGCTGCCTGTGGCAAGCTACACCGAGTTGTCTGGTCCGAGGTGTCTCTACCTTGGGGTATCTAGAGGCGGATCGGGGTGTTCCTGTTTGAGAGTGGCCTAAAATCCACTAGGAGGAGCTCGGTCATTAGAAAAGGTCAGGGGGCCCCGAGCTCGGAGGTAGCTCGGAGTGCCTTAGCCTTGGGAGGAAGGTGCAAGCCAAGCGGCTCTCAGCGATTAGCCTAACCCGTCGAGTTGCTAGACTAAACTCGGTGAACCCTTCCCACCGAGTTGCGGCTACACTTGTTGTGTTGTCACGCTGAGTCACCGCTTGATCAAGGTCATACCCACGTGTACCCGTGCTATGAGGTCGGGCCAAATCACCCTTCATCAATATATATATATATATATANTTAGTTTATCAACTATGATGTAGCCATCTTTACCATGCTAAAATTCGATACCATCGGGAGGTTCTTAAAACATTATATTGTGCAATTTTTTTTTTTTTTGCAATTTCTACATTTTTATAAAATTTTTGCAAATTTTTTGCTATTTTAATGCATTTTTGGTATTTTTGTATTTTCTGATTTTTTTCAAAGTTTCTGCAATTTTTTGTATTTTTCTGCMTAATGTTTGCATTTTTTTGCAAAATTTCTGTAATTTCTGCATTTTCTGCCAAATTTCTTTATTTCCTGCAATTTTCAGGTATTTTAATGCATTTT